CACTAACATTCACTATCATGTGACGTAATGACCAATAACATTCACTATCATGTGATGTGATAACCACTAACATTCACTATCATGTGATGTGATAACCACTAACATTCACTATCATGCGATGTGATCACCACTAACATTCACTATCATGTGATGTGATCACCACTAACATTCACTATCATGTGATGTGATAACCACTAACATTCACTATCATGTGATGTGATGATCAGTAACACTGATTATCATGCGATGTGATCACCACCAACATTCATTATCATGTGATGTGATGACCACTAACATTCACTATCATGTGATGTGATGACCACTAACATTCTTTATCATGTGATGTGATAACCACTAACATTCATGATGATCAGTAACATTGATAATCATGCGATGTAATGATCAGTAACATTGATTATCATGCGATGTAATGATCAGTAACATTGATTATCATGCGATGTGATGATCAGTAACATTGATTATCGTGCGATGTGATGATCAGTAACATTGATTATCGTGCGATGTGATGATCAGTAACATTGATTATCGTGCGATGTGATGATCAGTAACATTGATTATCGTGCGATGTGATGATCAGTAACATTGATTATCGTGCGATGTGATGATCAGTAACATTGATTATCGTGCGATGTGATGATCAGTAACATTGATTATCGTGCGATGTGATGATCAGTAACATTGATTATCGTGCGATGTGATGATCAGTAACATTGATTATCGTGCGATGTGATGATCAGTAACATTGATTATCGTGCGATGTGATGATCAGTAACATTGATTATCGTGCGATGTGATCACCACTAACATTGATTATCGTGCGATGTAATCACCACTAAGATGGGTCATCGTGCGATGTAATCACCACTAAGATGGGTCATCGTGCGATGTAATCACCACTAAGATGGGTCATCGTGCGATGTAATCACCACTAAGATGGGTCATCGTGCGATGTAATCACCACTAAGATGTTAAAGCTACCATGAAATATTACATTGAAGCTACCATGAAATATCACATTGAAGCTACCATGAAATATCACATTGAAGCTACCATGAAATATCACATTGAAGCTACCATGAAATATCACATTGAAGCTACCATGAAATATCACATTGAAGCTACCATGAAATATCACATTGAAGCTACCATGAAATATCACATTGAAGCTACCATGAAATATCACATTGAAGCTACCATGAAATAACACGTGAAATATCACGTTAAAGCTACCATGAAATATTACATTGAAGCTACCATGAAATAACACGTGAAATATCACGTTAAAGCTACCATGAAATATTACATTAACGCTACCATGAAACATCACGTGAATTATCACGTTAAAGCTATCATGAAATATCACATTAACGCTACCAT